GAAGGTCCGAATGTCTAGAGCAGCTGTAGCTGCCCCATCCCTGGAAGTGTGCAAGGCCAGGTCAGATGGGGCTTGGAGCAACCTGGACAATTGGAAGGTGTTCCTCGCTGCTGGATGATCTTTGAGGTCCCTTCCAACCCCAACCATCCCATGACTACACCAGCAGGACAGAGCTGGGGCAGCACATCACCCAGAACCCTCTCCAGCAGCAGTGAGCTGGACATCCCTCTACTGTGAGCTAGAAACAAGCAGCAAGAAAGGGAGGCAGAGAGCCCTGTTTGCCTTGCCTGCAGGACGAAGGAGACCCTCAGGAAAACCCCAGAACTGTTCTGCCTGGATCTGCCTCCCCCCAGCCAAGGAACACCCCTCTCTCCCACCTCCTGGGCTTCAGCAGCACCAGGCTTTGCTCACAGCCACACCTGCAGCAGCCCCAGCTGCAAACTAACCAAGGTGAGAGCCAAGGGGAGAGTTCTCCCCTAACTGGAGCCATGTGCTCACTCACACAGTCAGGAGACACAGCACAGAGGAGGGTTAGGTGCTGAAGCAATGTCTGTTAGTTACAGCTCATTACAGTTATTATTGATGCATCTCATTGTCAATGCAAAAGGTGAAGTCACTTAATCCATCATTTCTCAGACACAGATGACAGAGCATGTGGTTTGGCAGAGTAAGTTTTAGGCGAGCTAGAAATGGATTGCACAATATTTAAACCTGATTAAGTACATAATAGGCTCAGCAAAGGATTAACTTTTCTCCTGACATTTTGATCATAAATATTTACACACACACACACACACACACACGCACACACAAGAGGCTTTTTATCAGTAGTTGCATTTTAGTCTGGTCAAGAGACAACTGCCTACTGCAGAATGACTGGAGTGATACCCTTAAAAAGGAAACTAGTCTTGGTGTGCTTTGCTGGAGAAGATCCTTTTTGGGGTAATTCTCAGGGGTAGGGGTCACATCCAAGCATCACTGGAGGGCTAGAGGGGACAGGTGAGGGGTTGGGGACTCATACACAGCCCTGGCTGGTGGCACACCAAGCTCCTTCCCTGTGCCAGGCAGGAGATCCTGGAGCCAAGGGGCTGGGCTGGATTCTGTTTGGGCTGCTTTTCTAGGACTTTGAGAAAAATTTGGCTTATTTAAAGTGCTTTTAGAGTTGAAAAGCATATCTGAGAAGGAGCTTTCCCTCCTCCTGCCCTGCAGTGTCCATCCCATTTATGATCCCACTCCTAATCTTTTCCAGGGTGTGCCAGTCACCTTCCCCAAGTGGTGTTAGTCTGAGCTCAGCTGCCTCCTGCTACGGTGCAGGATCATTATTTAATGCCCAACATCCCCAAACCAGGCAGAGATTTGGGGCTGACAGCGATTCCTGCACCAGGAAAACACACAGCCATGTCTCACTGCGCTTTGAGGAGCACAGGAATCCTTCCCACCAGCCTGGAGGTTTCCTAAAGAGCCTGAAATGAGCACACACCTCCAAAGCTCACAAGGACAAACCTTGGCCTGGCTGTTTCCATTGTCAGTGGGAGTGCTTGGATGTGCTGGGATACAGGGTGGCAAGATTTGACCTGCAGCCTTGCCCAAGAATAGGTCCTCTGAGGAATGCTCTGCTGGTTTGACAGCTGCTCTTCAAAACAGAAGCCTTGGAAAAAAAAAAAAGACTCAGGATGCAGAATCTGGAATGGGACAGTGGTATCCCACAGGGAAACCCTGTCCTTGCTCCCCAACACACGCACACACACACACACACTGGTCCTCCGTGTCAAAGTGTAAACTACTCACAACACCACACACTGAGAGAAGTTGTAGATCCTGAGCCAGGGTGTAGATTAGGAATCTCTTGGCTTTCAGCATATCAACAGCAGGATTGAGGGGTTCTTATTTTTTTTCTTCCCCCTCCTTATTGTTTCTGTAAATGCTAAATCAGCCAGCCACCTGCCAGTTAAAAAGCAAAAGGAAAAGGAGAATTCCCAGGATTGCTTGCCCTTGCTGAGACAGTGGCAAGTGGCTGGACACTACCAACTCAAAAAGAAAACAGACACACATCAGAAACCTGTGAGTCAGGGCTTATTCCACGAGGGAAGATGGGTGCTGGTTGCTATTTTTCCCTTTTTGGGGGTGTGTGGGAGCTTTTGGCTGATGAGGTTCTAACATACACCTATCACCACAGTAATTAAAAAACCACCACCATACACTAATCCACAGGGAAAAAGAAGACACAGGAACAGACACTGACTACCACACACAACAAGAGCCCTGCAGGTCAGCTTGTGGCCTCTTCAGAAAGAAAAAAGAAAGAAGGAAAAAACAAAGAAACAAAAGAGAAAAGAAAGAAAAATCCCAAAGGATTACAAAGAACGGGAAAAGAACCACCATTATGGTACACTCTGACTTTCCGGAACAGCTGCAGAAACTCAGCTCAGCCTTCCTCCTCCTCCTCTTCCTCCTCCTGAGGACAGAGTCCTGCTGCTCACATCTCGTTGGAGTAGGTGTAGTTGGGGGTGGCCGAGTACTGCGTCTCGTGCTGCATCATGGCGCCCTGCGCTGCCCCCATGGCCGCGTTCTGCGCCGCCTGCTGCACATGGGGGTTCTTCCACGCCCCTGTGGTCCACTCCTCCTGTGCCTTGCTGAAGCTCCCGCCGCTCCCCCGGTAGAACTTGTGCACCTGGAGAGGAAATCCAGAGGGGCTGAGCACCTGCTCAGCTGGGGCTGAGCCGCCAGGGCCACCCCTGTGCGCTGTGCCGTACCATGGTGAGGGCGATGAAGGAGAAGACGGCCATCACCGTGAAGAGCACCGTGGGGATCAGCATCACCACAGCTGAGCCCACATTGGTCCCGAAGAAGGAGATGGCTGCAATCCAGCCGCTGCAAGGAGAGGAAAACAAAGGGTTCCTGCAGCAGCTTGGAGCATTCCCAAATTGCCAACACCCCTTCCTGTGATTCAAACCTTCCCCCCAAGGAAAGCAGCATGGGGATGCCAAAGCACCAAGCACTGAGGGTGTTACAATGCCACAGGGACTGCTCTGGCACCCACACAAGAGCATTTTGCTTACCAAACCCTCCATCCAGGGATTCTCACTGCCCTGGCACTAAACAAAGAGCATCTTCCTTCACAGATCCCCCATCCTGGGATTCCCATCACCCTGGCACCCAACACAGCATCTTCATTCACAGACCCTCCATCCAGGGATTCATGTTACCCTAGTACCCAACACAAGAGCATCTTCCTTACCAGACCCCCCATCCAGGGATTCCCACTGCTTGGATAATGCTGATCACCAGCTGGGCCATGAAGGTGAAGAAGAAGGCCATGAAGCTGAAGGAGCTGTCTGTCCTGCAGGAGAAAGCTTGGTCACTCTCCACACCTCCATCCCTGCTGCACTCCAAGGGAAAGGAGATTCTCCCACGGCTCAGACCTGGCTGTGGTTTAGCAGGAGGGTGGTGAGAAGCAAAATGAAAGGCAAGGGAAGAACTGTGAGAGGCTGAAGGTGGTGGAGGGGCACCTGGGAATGCCACAGGGCACCAGACCCTGCTCGTGGCTCAGCCAGCTCTGCCCCATCTGTGCTGGGACATGGCTCTGGGCTGACCCCACCACCAGGCTCAGCCTCTCCACATGGGGAATAAACACACCCCCAGGATCCTAGATTTGAGGATTGACCTCAGCAACGTGGATAATGGATACAAACACCTCTACCAGTCATGGAAAAATATAAAGGAAGTCTCAAGGATGGGAGGGAAAGTGGCAACCCAGCTGCGTCCTCACCACTCTCCCCCACCACCACGCACAGGCACACAGTGGGTGTCTTTATGTCACACAGTTGGGATTTTGGCCTTCAGGAAATCCCAAACACTCTTGTTTTGAAGGTCAGAAAGTCAAGCTAAAGGGCTGGACAGCAAGAACAGAAATCCCCCCAATTATTTCGGCAATGCCCCAAGCCAAACACTGACCGTTTAGGAAGGAAAACAAGGCAAAAAGAAGCCAGGCTGAGGTGCAACCACTTACTTGAAAGCTTTGTAAATAGGTCTAAACCAGCAGACATAGGAGCAGGGCGTAAAGAGAATGAGCCAGAGAATTGCCAGTCCAAAATTTACAGCTCCGCCGCCTCCGATGAGCCACGCGAGGCAGCCCACCAGGTTCACCGCCAAGGTGATGCTGTTCACTGCAAACACACACACAGAGCACAGTAGCACAGATGCCAGGGTGGCACTGAGGCAGGAGGGACCCCCACCCCAGGGATGTGGCCTTGGAGTCCTATCCTAGCTGGAATTCCCTTACATTAAGCTGGGAGCACATTCCAGGCTAGCTGAGCCAAAGGGGGCGAAACCGCAGCTGAGGAACAAGAGGAGAATCAACGTATCTCTCAGAGCTGGAATGTGTTAGCAGGTCCAGAGCTCTGAGGATTAGGAAGAGATTCTCACGCATCCTCCTGCTCCCAGCAACACATTTCCACTGACTGAAAGGAACTGGAGAAATGCAAGTGAAGCTTCTCTGCTTGCTCCAGCTCCAGTTGTGCTGAAGGAGCTCGTGCAGGACTTCTTCAGGCTTCGCTGGGAGCTGAAATCCTGAACTCCTGACCCACCTCACTGGTTCAGGGGGTGACACACTTGCCTCGCCCACCCCTGCTCAGGCTCAGGCTATACAAGGGCTCTGACTGTGTCTCCAGCTTGGCAGACACAGGACAAAGCAGAGAAGGCTCATCTGCATTCTGACGCCTCCAAGCTCGGAGAATGATTCATTATTCTGAGGAGAACCAAAACCCTCCCACTGCCGCCTGCCTAAGGGCTGCAGCTGGCAGGGAAGGGAGCTCAGCTGCCCTAAAGGACACCAAGGGGAGCTGCCAGCTGCTCCATGCCCTGTGTTTGAGCGGGTCTTGGGGACAAAATGACCCAGAGCTCCAGAGGCAGAAGCCAAGGGACAGGTGACTGGCACTGAGAGCTGGTGCTCATGCTGTAGAGCAGGAACCAAGCTCTGTTACACTAAGTACAGCCAGATTGGGATGTGGAGGGAACTGAACACCCCCAAGACAGCTTCCACAGCTCTTGATTCCTCCCCTTTCTTAGACAAGCTACACTAACTCTCCTGACATGATGAAGCTACCCCAGGGTCACCTTCCTGATGGGACATAGCCCCCAGGGTGCTGTGCCCAAAGCAGGAACACCTGACCTCTCGAGTACCAGCTCAGCTCCTCAGAACCTGCCTCCAAAGCACAAGGCACTCCCTGGGCACTGCTGCTTCCAAAGTTCAGGGAAAACACCCAACAAGGAAATAAGTTCTTCTAAAAAGGACTGGTGCGCTGGTGCCAGCTTGCCCCATAGACATTTCCACCTATGTCGGGGTGGGATCTGTCCCTCCAGCTCTTTTCCCTGCCCAGGGTTGGTAAGGAAGAGAGATCCAGGATAGTTGGAAGAGCTGGAAGCTGGTGACAGCTGTTAGCACAGCACGGCACACAGAGGCATGCAAGAGGAACAGGAAAGGCCTGGGAAGCCTCAGGCTCCCCTGTTTTGGGGAGCAGCCCTCCAGTATGACCTGTCTCCTCCTCATCAAGGTTACAACCAATGGCCCTTGGACACTGAGCCAGCTCCACACCTCCATCCTGGAGGCTGGAAGGGCTGAGCCCCATGAGATGCTGCAGCCCACATCCCATCTCTGGGTTTTAACAGGAGACCTGGAGGGGGAGAAGGGCTTCCCCTGGCCTTGCCCTGCTCTTTCAGCTGGCAGCTCCCAGAGGAGCAGCCTCTGGAGAGGCAAACAAATCCCACCTGAGCCCATTCCCAGCCAGCAACTCACACATCCAGAGGTAGTAAAGCCGCTTGGCCATGCTCCGGTGCTGCGGTGGGATCTCAGCATCGAAGTCCTGGTAGAAACATGGCTTCAGGGGGATGAACTTGGGCAGGGGAGGGAAGTTGTTCACTTTTTCTGCAATGACAAGTTTCATCCACATTGGGCACTGCCCAGAGCTCAACAGAAAACAAGAGGCTTCCTAATTAGCCCCAAGAACTGATGAGTTAATTAAGGACTTCCTCTGGAAACCCACCCATAAGGATCAAATTCAGCCCTGGCTGGATCTTGCAAGTGTGGATACCCACACCCACTGGTGACATGGCCAGTGAAGCCCCCTGTGGGCTTCAGAGCCCCCCCATACCTGCCATGCTGGCACACACTCAGTCTCTCTGCTCCACAGGAAAAGTCCTTGGCAGTAACTTGAGAGCTTGAGCAAAGCTGAAGGAGAATGAGAGAAAAAGAGATTGAAGTGGTCAGGGACCTCCTCAAGAGCCTTCACCTTGCCCCTGATGCTCCAAAGAGTTCAAGGACAGCACAGTTCCTGTCACACATCCAGGCTGGCACCTGGCTGGCAGCAGGATAAATCCCGGCGCCTCCGGCCGAGGCTTACGCACTGGTTAAGGCAGAAGATTACAAGAGGATCCAGTGATGTGGAGCCTCCCACTCCCGACTGACCTACATCCAGAAGAGGGCCAGGTGGGACAGCAAGGGAAGGAGGCAGCTGGGGGCGGTTTGAAGCCCTCAAGTTCATTCCCTGCCCCAAAAGTAATTTTTTTCCCCTTGAATTTATTAGTCTTACAGAATTCCAGCACAGGGAACTGCCTGGCAGCTCCCATCTCTGCAAGCCCAAAGCCAAAAACCAGGCTGGAAAGGGAGCAGGGAAATCAGAGCAGGGAAATCAACTGGAAAGATCAGCTGGAAAACAAATAAATCAGTGGCGATTGTCACTAATGAGTCACTTGAGTGCTCGGCTTAACGATTACTCATGGCATTTGGCACCTCGTGCAGGTGGGAGAGGGGAAAACTCAGCATCCCAGGACCATCCCAGATCATTCCCTGCCCAGCCCCGTCCCAGCAGCGAAAACGCAGCCCAATTAAAGCAGAAACGAAAAGCTGAGGTTTAAAATAGAAGCGTGAAGATGGCGCACCCCAACCTGCCTGCAGGTTTGGATAGCTCCCAGCTACCCAGGCAGAGGGATGGCAGCAGCCAACACATTTCCTAGG